TGCCTTTCTACCCTTTTTGTTGACAGAAGTTAGTTTAGCAGTTTGCCTGGTTCTCGCGTATTTGGCAATAATTATTTCAGCGAGGAATTTCTGTATTTCACCTTTTGAAATTCTTGACTGAATCTGGAATTATTACATATTTAGTCAGTTCAGATTGGATGTCCTGTGAGTTTATAATTAGTTAAACCTTCGCATGAATCAAAGGATGTGATCATTTAGTCTTCTCCAGTTTATGGTAAAAAGAGATGGTCCTTTTTTTTTTGGAGAGGTTTTTGCTATTGGGCGCGTGAGCTCACCAGAGAGACAGAGAGAGAGAGACAGAAAGCGAGAAAAGTGAGAAATCACTCCCCAATCCCTCCTCCTCCATTCTTCTCTCAGGATCTTGGGCACGCACGCACATGTGCCCGATGTGAGTTTAAGCCACCGGGTCCAGGACGCGAACCGCGGTCAACTACATGGGAGTCCAGCAACATAGCAATTACGCCAACTGCTGGTCCCGAATTTTTTTTAAAGGATTATTCAGTTATATTCATTGTCATTCTTCTTATTACTGTATTTAAAGTTGACCAGAGAGAGACACAGTGACAGGCAAAGTGAGAAAGCAAGCTGCTCAGTCCAAGACTTGCACTGCGGTCAGCCACGTGGGAGTCTAGCTGCCTTAACCACCATGCCACCTGCTGGCCCCGGAAGATGATCTTTTTTTTAAAATACTACTGTAAAAAGGATATTTTATTGTCATGCTTTCCTAGGAATAAATGCTGAGATTAATTTTATTTATTTATTTATTTATTTTTGCGAGAGATTTTTGCTTATAGGGATTATGCACTCACTGGAGAGACAGAAAGCAGGAAATCACCCCAGGGGGTTAGCCACGCCACCATCCCTTCTGCTCCATTCTCCTCGGGATTTTGTGCATGCACTCATGTGTGCCCAGTGTGAGTTTTAAGCCACCAGGTCTGGAACTTGAACTGTGGCCAACTATATGGGAGTCCAGTGACTTAACCATTAACGCCATCTGCTGGCCCCAGTGCTAAGATTTAATACCAGAGTGGCACATACTTATTTTATCATAGCAGAAAGTCTTAAATGTTTATTTTAAAGAACTGATTAAATAAAGTAATGTTCACTCTTTAGATTGCATGGGTATCCAGAATTTTGTTCTAACTATTCCATCGTCTTGACAGCTGGAATAACCTGCTCCCTTAAAGGCAGTCAGCTTTCTGTTTGAGATACGTGTATTTCCAGGTTCAAGTAGTACTTGTACTTAGTTAACAGTCCCTAAGGGAACACCAGATCGATATCTCAGTAAGTGAAAAGCCACAGCTGCAAGCAGGACCTCCAGCACAAGCAGACCCCTGTTCACTGGGCCTTTCGGACGCCTGCACGTCTCAGTGCACACTGGGCTGATCCTTACTTAGCTGGACTCAGCGCTTTAGCCTTTAGCCTTTCATTCTGTTTCCTTTTCTTGCTCCAAAGTACAAAAACAGATAATACAAGGGGGAACTCCAAACATTTTTAGAAAAGTGGAATTAAAACATGAGTTTATGGGGCCAGCAGGTGGCGTGGTGGTTAAGGCACTGGACATTCCCATATGGCCAACCATGGTTCAAGTCCTGGACCTGGTGGCTGGCTTTCTCACTTTCCTTATCTCTGTGTGTCTATCTTTCTGTGGTCAAATGAAAAGAATTTTTTTTTTAAGAATTATGTATTTAATTTTATTTATCCATTAATTTATTTTAATTTGGCTAGAGATAAACACAGAGAAAGAGAGAGAGGGAAAGTGAGAGAGGAAGGCACCAAGTCTGGAACTTGAACTGTGGCCGGCCATGTGGGAGTGTCCAGCGCCCTAACCACCATACCACCTGCTGGCCCTCTTTTTTTCTTTTTTTTAGAATTATTTATTTAATTTGATTTATTCATTCATTTATTTTAAAATTAAATAATTCTTAAAAACCATGAATTTATTATGATGTAAACATTTTTTGAAACCCATGCATATTTTTTCATAATATACATTATCCACAAACTTTCTGAAATTTTCTCATGTGTTTATTGGGCTAAAAGTTTTTTAAAAGGCAAGCAAGTTCCAGCACATGGAAAGTCTAAAGCAAGTCCTAAACGCAATATTAGCTAATAATTACTCTGGATTTCATATTAAGACGAAAGTTGTCTAGCCCCAGTAAATAGTATGTAACAGTTTTTGTTTTGATCAAGTAATAAATAAGATTTCGAAGAGTATTACATGGAGTAGTACATGGATTCGTCTTAGAGGTATTTATTATATGATTTTAGGAAGTGACACTTCTCTGTGGGAAGAACGAGTCAGTAGTTATGTTACCAAAGTATCTGATGCTGTACTCTTTATTTTTAACATTTTCATTTTGGATTTACTTGGAAAACAGCAAGTATTATTGATAATACAAAAGGACTTCAAAAAGTTCAGGGAAGAGACCAGCAGTTAGCATAATGGCTATGTCGCTGGACTCCCACGTAGTTGACCACGGTTCGCATCCCGGACCCTGTGGGTTAAAACTCACGCTGGGCGCATGTGCGTGCGTGCCCAAGATTCCAAGAGGAGAATGGAGGAGAAGGGATTGCGGCGTGGCCATCCCGCCTGGGGGGTGATTTCTTGCTTTCTGTCTCTCTGTCTCTGTCTGTCTGGCGAGCGCACGCACCCTATAGCAAAAACCTCTCAAAAAAAAAAAAAGTTCAGGGAAAATGGAATTGAAGTATAAGTTTATTTTGGTGCCAGTAAATTTTGAAATTCGTGGATAGCTTTTTCATAATATGCACCTCTGTGAACTTTTTGAAAGCCAGTCTTTGAGTCCTTCCCCTTTTTTTTTTACAATTATTTTATTTTATTTATAATTGTTGTTACTTTAAAATTTGCTATAGGGCACATAAACTCACCAGAGAGAGACAGAGAAAGAGAGAAGGAAAGTGAGGAAAAGCCACCAGATCTGGGACTCAAACCGCAGTCAGCCATCTGGGAGCCCAGCACCTTAACCACCTCACGACCTGCTGCCCCTATTCTGCCAATGTTTTACTACACACTAGGGTTACATGACTTGCTGGGTTCCTAGAAGTAATTTTTGTTGCATGTAGGAACAAAGCTTTTTCCTATCATGTATATTTCTGATGTTTTATAATAAAGAAACTGTCCTGGTATGGGATAGGTAAAAAGCTCAGTTGGTTGAACTAACTCCCAGTAAATGTGGCTAGGATAGAGCAACTCTGTTAAAGGAAATACAACAGTATTGGTTATTTTAGGTGTTTCTGGTATAATTGTGTAACAGCATACTGAATCAAACTACAAATTAGTGTTCTGATGTGGTATATTTTTTCCCTCTACATTTAAGTGAAAAAAAGGGTTGTTGGCATTTTTCTTCATGAGTGTTAACTTGTGGCAACCAAGTTGACTTTTTTATTTAAGTTATATATGTGAAGAAATATAAAAGACAATGAATTTTCTTTGTTTTTTGGTTTTTTTTTTTTTGGTTTTTATTTTTTGAGAGGTTTTTGCTATAGGGCGCGTTCGCTCGCCAGACAGACAGAGAGATAGAAAGCGAGAAATCACCCCCCAGGGGGCATGGCCACGCCGCAATCCCTTCTCCTCCATTCTCCTCTCGGGATCTTGGGCACGCACACACACGCGCCCGGCGTGAGTTTAAGCCACCAGGTCCAGGACTCGAACCGTGATCTACTACGTGGGAGTCCAGCAACATAGCCATTACGCTAACTGCTAGTCCCAAAAGCCAATGAATTTTAAAATTCCAAAACACTCTATTGAGCTCTATGAACCAAAAAAAAAAAAAAAAAACTTAGATAAGCTTTTAGAGTATTCCCTGTCTCCATCTTAAATTTAAACTGTAAAAATAAGAAGCTAGTGACTAACATTAGGATTCTCTTAGTGGTCGTAAAGTTGTTTTTCCTATGCTAAAAGTAGCTCATTTTTTATTGTTTTGAAAATTTATAATAATAGAAAGAGGGGAGCCGCACTGTTCCAAGATGATCATAATAAGCATTTTAGTATATTCTTCCCAGACACGCTTTTCCTATAGTACTGAACACACCTCGTGTATAATTTTCGATCTTACTTTTTCCCTTGAACGTTCTTTGTTATGAACTCTGTTAGCATGCTTAGTTGTTGATGGTGCTTAGATTACACTGAATTCGTTTTTTAGAACTAGCAATCTGATGGAAAAGGACCATTTTCCTATGGTTAGAAAAAGTGCATCATCATGTGGTTACGGTGCATTTAAAAGTCATCCTTAAAGGGCCAGCAGGTGGTGTGGTGGTTACCATGCTGGACTCCCACAGAGCCGACCGCAGTTCAAGTCCTGGTCCCCACAGCTTGCTTTCTCTCTTTCTTTCCCTGATAAGCGCACATGCCCTATAGCAAATGAAAAAATAATAATAAATTAAATAATTGTTTTTTTAAAAGGTCATCTTTAATATTACCAGGATTCCAACTGAGATAGGCAGGATCTTTAGACTGCTTTACAATTTTTTTTTTTTTTTGGAGAGATTTTTGTTATAGGACACGCGTGCTCGCCAGAAAGAGACAGACAGAGATACAGAAAGTGAGAAATCACCCCGCAGGGGGGATGGCCATGCCACAATCCCTTCTCCTCCATTCTCCTCTCGGGATCTTGGGCATGCATGCACACGTGCCGGCTTGAGTTTAAGCCACTGGGCCCAGGACTCGAACCGCAGCCAACCACATGGGAGTCCAGCGACATAGCTATTACACTGACTGCTGGTCCCTGCTTTCCAATTTTTAAATCAGAACTCATAGAAACAAGTGCCCATACAAATGTACGGAATAATGATGTCACTAAGTTGCCTGTAAATTTTCTCGGCGTCAGTGATTGCCAGCGTACGCTAGTTGGCACGCGCACGGCTACTGTAGGATGGCGCGCGGTGTGCTTTAGCACTGTAAGCGGCCCTGCGTGTTAATTTCCATCTGTTGTTCTTTGTCCATCTTGTACCCGTTTCAGGTCCACTGGCTATTCCGAGGTGATAGTCGTCGTTGGAGGCTGTGAGCGCGTTGGCGGATTCAATCTTCCATACACTGAGTGCTATGACCCGGTAACGGGAGAGTGGAAGTCTTTGGCTAAGCTTCCAGAATTTACCAAGTCAGAGTATGCGGTCTGTGCTCTAAGGAATGACATCCTTGTCTCAGGTACATAAAAGATTGATATAGTCGCTCGTTGTAACTTGGACACAGCTGTGTACCATAAACCATAGTTGTGTCTTCAGAGCAAATCCTGAAATGCGAACACACCCATTTTAGGCAGATCAGTTTATACAGTAATAAAACTGAGAATGCCTTTTGCTCTTAAGAACAGGAATGAGATGAGACAGAATGATTTCTAAAAGATCCACCTGAAAGTGTCTTTAATCATATGTTTTAAATGCTCTCAAATGCATATAAAATATATAATTTTTAAAAACTTTTAAAATCTCTACTTTGTGCTAAGGCCCACAGTAATAATGTAAGCAAAGTCAGAAATCTTTGGGGCCAACTGTGGCCAGGTTGTCACTTGAGCTGGATCCCACGGGGCTAATTGCACAGTTCAAGTCACAAATCTGGTAGCTTGAAAAACAACACGTGTGTGTGTGTGTGTGTGCCCCAAATCCTGAAAGGACAGAGAAATGGAAGAGAAAGGATTGTGGAATGACCACACCCCATGGGGGTGCTTTCTCCCTCTCCTCACGTGTCTCTCTCTCTCTCTTTCTCTGTGTTTCTCTGGTGAGTGTACACACCCTCTAGCAAATTTTTAAAAAGAGAAATAAATAAGCATCTCTAATTTACCCATGTTTTCTGAAAGAATCCCTAGAGTTCATGAAATAGAATTTCCTTTTAAACTCATAACTTGAACTTCTTTATGATATGTGATATATTTAATCTATAGTTAGACAGTAAGAGACAGATTTATACAAAATATGTGTGTAATATCTATGTTTGGAAGTGTACTAATTGATAAAAAAATTACCAAGTTTGCATATTATTACAGCACTGTAGTATAGCCTATTGACTAATATTACAACATATACTTTGTTTTTAAAATGTGCTGGAGGGCATGGTGCTCACCAGAGAGAGAGAGACAGAGAGACAGAGAGACAGCCGGGTCTGGGACTCTAACCACAGTTGGCCAGGTAGTAGTCTAGTGCTTTAACCACCATGCCACCTGCTGGCCCCTGGCTACCATTTTTAAAAATAGGTGATTAGGGACCAGCAGATAGCATTAAAGTTATATCGCTGGACTTCCACCTGGCGGATGCAGTTTGAGTCCCAGTCTTTGAGGCTTGAAACACACGGGGCATGCACGTGTGTATGCGTGCCCAAGATTCTGAGGGGAGAGTGGAGGAGAAAAGATTGCCATCCCCCCCCCCGGGTGGGAGACGGTTTCCCCCCCCCGGGTGGGAGGTGATTTCTCGTTTTTTGTCTCTCTCTGGCGAATGCACACATCCTATAGCAAAATCTCTCAATAATAATGATGATAATAATTTAAATAGTGATTTTTTTTTTCTTTTTTTTGGAGAGGTTTTCAACTATAGGGTGTGTGCGCTCGCCAGACAGACAGAGACATAGAGACAGAAAGCGAGAAATCACCCCCTGGGGGGATGGCCACGCTGCAATCCCTTCTCCTCCATTCTCCTCTCAGGATCTTGGGCACGCACGCACACGTGCCTGGCGTGAGTTTTAAGCCACCGGGTCCGGGATGCGAACCGCGGTCGACTACGTGGGAGTCCAGCGACATAGCCATTACGCTAACTGCTGGTTTCTGTGATTTTTAAAAAAGTCTTTAGAATCATCCTGTTGTTTGAGTGCTTCTGATATCTGATTCCTAAATCAATACTCATACATTCATAAAATTCACATTCTGTATTTTATTAATTTGGGTCTGTAGTCATTACTTCTCAAGACAGCAGTTGGCAAAGTGTGAGTCTGCTGTGTGGAACTGTTTCCATTAAGTTCTAAGAGGGTCCTTGTTTCATTTATTGAGCCGAATTCTCAGTTCCTGAGCTGGGGGACAGATGCGGTGTTCCTGTTACCTGTGCCTTTGTGGCACAGGCCACTTGGTGACAGATGTGTGCTGACATATTCTTTGCGTCGTTTTGCATTCAAAGGTGGAAGAATCAACAGCCGTGACGTCTGGATTTATAACTCACAGCTAAACATCTGGATCCGAGTTGCCTCTCTAAATAAAGGCAGGTGGCGTCACAAGATGGCTGTCCTCCTTGGTAAAGTAAGAGAAACCACTTTATTACTATTGCTGGTACATTTTCAAAATCAATACCACAGCCAAATCCATTTGCCTCTCCCTCTGGGTATTTCGGACTCATTTTATTTCCTTTCATTTCTGACCTCAGTGATAGACTGCAACGCCAGCAGTGCCCCGCTGCACGTTAGAATGGGCCCTGCTCTCCCAGCTGGGGCCTGCAGTGGTGAGGCCCGTTTCCTCCCATGCTCCGCTGGGGCCCAGGTGCCTAAGGAGCGTCGGGCAGTAAAGGACTCACAGCACACACAGAGATAGACCAGGCCTTTTTCTCTTATTGACTTTGGCTGTCAAGCAGAAATACATTTATCTAAAGTGATGTTGTTTTATCTTTTTTATTTGTATTAGTAAGAACAAAACAAATTAAAAATAAGTATTAAATAATCTCACCAGCTTATTTTAAAACATACTATTGACTACAGCTAATGAGTATTATTAAAAAAATTTAATTTGGGTTCCAAATCATTTACTCTCCTTGGGAACCTGAGAATAATCTGTGTAATTAGTGTATTCCAAACTTTTTTTTTTAGGCACTGGACACTCCCACATAGCCAACCATGGTTCGAGTCCCGGACCTAGTGGCTAGCTTTCTCACGCTCTCTCTGGTCAAATTAAAATAAATAAGTGAATAAATAAAATTAAATAAAAAAGAATACCTTGTCAAAAAATGATTAGTATTTAAAAAAAATAGTTTTTCTTAGAGTGTGTGCACTCACTGGGGAGAGGTAGAGAGAGGAAGGGAGAGGGAGAGAGAAAGAAAGACAGTAATAGAAAAAGTGAGGAATCACCTGGGGGGCATGACCATGCCGGAATCCCTTCTCTTCCATTCTCCAAGGATCTTGGGCATGCATGCACACGCCCCTGGAGTGATTCTCAAGCCACCGGTCCGGGACTCAAATCACAGTGGGCCAAACATTTTAAAAGCAACTGTATCTTACAGGGAGCAAACTCTTTCCTAAAGCATTCACCTGTCAGTAGCTACTATCGTATACATAGTTTCAGTAGCTGTTTCAAGAATGCCAGCGTATTACTGGAAAAGAGGGGCTAAAACAATCAAGGGGTCAGAAGATGATGAGATTTCACTAAAAAGTTTATAACTATTTAGTCTGGACCTATGAAGGCAAATGAATATGATGTCTCAACCTGCGTACACATGTGTGTATGTGAGTGTACATGTATGTACATGTGTATACACAGACTCACGCCCACATACTTATGTATATACGAACTCAAATTTATTTGACAATTATTACATAAGATTCTTGACTTAAAGATACTAAAAACTTTGAAGCAGTAAATCAAGAAATAAATCATTCCTGGAACCAGCAGTTGGCGTATTGGCTATGTTGCTAGACTCCCATGTAGTCGACCACAGTTCGCGTCCCGGACCCAGTGGCTTAAAACTCATGCCGGGCGTGTGTGCGTGCGTGCTCAAGATCCCGAGAGGAGAATGAAGGAGAAGAGATTGCGGCGTGGCCATCCCCCCTGGGAGGTGATTTCTCTCTCTCTGTCTCTGTCTTTCTGGCAAGCGCAGGCACCCTGTAGCAAAAACCTCTCCAAAAAGAAAAGAAATAAAAGAAAGAAATCATTCCTGTCTTATATACCAAGTACAGACTTAATGGAAACTATTATCTTAAAAATTACAATATGAGGCGTAGGCTGAATTCAAGCCTGTAATATCATTTAAATATACACTCTCTGCTAAGGAGCCCTAGGGTGCCTCAGACTGTAGAACCTCAGAGTCAGAGGGAATCACAGAGAACATTCACTATAACTCACATATAGAGAAACTGAATTCCTGGTCCAGTCAGGTGGCATGATGGTTAAGGCAGCGAGATCTCACCTGGTTGACTGTGTGGCTGGAGTCCCAGACCTGGGGACTTGGGAAACATTCCAAGTGTATGCACGTGCATGCCCAGAATCCCAAGGGGAGAATGGAGGAGAAGGGACTGCAGCACGACCATCCCTTCTGAGGGGTGATGTCTCACTTTCCCTCCCTTTGGGTCTCTTTCTGTCTCTCTCTGGTGAGATGGACACACTCTATAGCCAACTAAGGGAAAAGTAAAAGAGAAAAAGAACCCAGATTCCTAAGAACTCAAGTCACTTGCCTGAGGTTACGAGTAAGTGGTAACACACAGGCAGAGACTCCGAGTTTCTCAGTGTAGCGGCCTTGGATATTGATGCCACGCCACTTACGTTTGACATTACGGACGTAGGGCACATAAGTTTAACCCTCCAGTTTACATTATGCAAGAGAGAGCTGTTTTCATCTTTATTTTTTCACTGAAAAAAAAAAAAATGCTGAGTTTCCAAGAGGATAAACTGCTCTTACTTGCATGGCAGAGCGGGATTTGAACTCTGCTGTCATGGCTTCAAAGCCTCTGTGAACTGCAGTGTCGTACCGTGGGCTCCGTGCCCCTTGGCAGCTGCATAGCCTCTCGTACGTTTCTTAACCTATTGGCGCTGTATGGCACGGTGGGCACAACTCCACCAGCAGCTCGTTGTAGCACAGTTTGCACTGGCTGTGTGGAGATGTGGGGGTCACAGAAAGATAGGCTGCGACAGATCTGACTGACGAGGTATGCAGCAGTGGCCAGGACCTCAGGCCTTCAGCGCAAGTAGTAAGAGGATTGATGACCACGTGTTGTGGGAGACTGATTGGGAGTTTAGGAGCACAGGGTGAGACCAGGAAGCTCTTCGGAGGCTCTGAAATGATACGCACCCTGAGGCAGTGCGATGCAGTGGGGCCAGAGCAGAGGCCTCGATGTGGAAGAAGGTCCAGCAGGACATACTGGTTACTTAGACGCAGGGGAACAGTCGGCCAGTGCCCATTCGAGGAAATACGGGTAACTTAGCTGAGAGCTTCATTAGGTTAGATGTTACTTCTATAAATCCTTTGCTACTTAGTAGATCATTGGGCTGATAGCCCTTTAACAAATGGCTTACTGATGGGCTCACCTCTAGTAAAGATTAATCTGCCCTATCTCCCTTATATTTGTGAAAAGGAAATGTACATAAAAGCTCTTTGAAATACAGAGTGTAGGGGCTGGCAGGTGGCATGGTTGATGGGGCGCTGGACTCCCACATGGCTGGTCGCAGTTCAAGTCCTGGACCTGGTGGCTTGTTTTCTCACTTTCTTTCTGTCTGTCCTCTGACAAAATTAAATAATAATAATGATTAATGATGATGATGAATTAAATAAATCTAAAAAAAAGAGGAAAGATGAGAGTGTAGAATTCACTTATGTGTTGGGTAATTTTCTACTGTTGTAAGGGCTGAAAGATAAGCCTATATTCAAAGGTTCCAGTAATTCTTACCTAACACTTTAGTTCTGTAAATTTTTGTTTGTTTGTTTGTTTTTTGGTTGCCGTGGGGTAGGTGTGCTCGCTGGAGAAACAGAAGGAGACAGAGATGGAAAGTGAGAAATCTCCCTCTCCGGGGGGAGGAATGGCCTCCATTCTCCTCTCGGGATTTTGGGCACACGTGTACACACGCCTGGTGTACTTTGCAAGTTGCTGGTCCAGAGCTTGAACCATGCTGCCAGCCATGTGGGATCCAGCCCTTTAACCTCTGCACCACCTGGTGGCCCCATTTTCTTTTCCTGTGGGGTGCATGTGCTCACTGTAGAGGAAGAGAAAAAGCGGGGTGAGAAAACACCCCCTCTAGGCAGATAGCCATGCCACAATCCCTTTTCCTCCATTCTCTCAGGATTTGGGGCTCGCACGCAGGCACACACATGTTCTCGGTGTGTTTTTCAAGCTGCCAGGTCTGGGGCTTAAATTGTACGATCACTATGTGGGATCCAGCTGCCTTAACCAGCTACCTTAACCGCTGTCTGGCCTTTATAGTTGTATTACCTTATAATAATTAAACGTTTTGTTACCCACATGTGAGCATTTCAGCTATGTCATCTCATTCTCGACATGAGCAGTACAAACCCTTTAGGGGTGGTGAAGAGTGGGCCTGGGGAGTGGGAACACTGCGCCCGTTCGTGCATAGAACACAGACACTCATGCCATAAGGAAGATGCATTGGTGAAGAGTGGGCCTGGGGAGTGGGAACACTGCGCCCGTTCATGCATAGAACACAGACATGCATGCTGTAAGGTAGACGCATTGGTGAAGAGTGGGCCTGGGGAGTGGGAACACTGTGCCCAATCATGCACAGAGCAGGCACACATGCCATCAGGTAGATGCATGCTGTATCTCCATGTTAATGCTGCACTGGAGGCTATCAGGAGAGAAAGCTGCATAAAAGGCTCTGCTGGCAGCGGTCTGGATGGTGACAAAAAGGGTCGGAAACTCTGGGCTAAATGTGTTACAATTATAGTTAGCAAGGGCTTTCTAAAAGGGAAAGCGCCTTTCATTCTTTAGCTAACTAGCTGTTTTAGATTTAGATGGTTAGGATTTTTGCATATTATCTTACCTGTAGGTATATGTCGTTGGAGGCTATGATGGGCAAAACAGACTTAGCAGCGTGGAGTGTTATGATTCCTTTTCAAACCGATGGACTGAAGTTGCCCCCCTTAAGGAAGCAGTGAGTTCTCCTGCAGTGACGAGCTGTGTAGGCAAACTGTTTGTGATTGGTGGAGGACCGGATGACAATACTTGTTCTGATAAGGTAAGCCATGTTCCTTGCAAGAAATTGCCAGTCATATACACGAGAAGGGAAATACAGAAAGACGGCTTATCACGTAGGAGGCAGATTGCCTAGTGTAAGGGTCTTCTAAAAATACCTGATACTTTCTTCTTTTGGAGAAAAACATTGCATTTTAAGAAGCTAAAGTGAGACCCTGACATATTAAAAGTTTGCTGTAATGAGTATGAGCCATTCTTTTTGAAATGAGACTAATTTCAGTATCACAAATTAGTACTTAATAAATTGTTCTGGGACTTTTACTCCTATGAGCTACAGAATATATATGAATATTCTCATAAAACACAGTTGGGAAGTGCATTAGCAAAGATAAGCTACAGTAACTAATTAGGCTGCTTCCACCTGGATCGTTTTCTTCATACGAGAGTATTTTGTTAGCACAAGGAAGAGGAAAAGGAACTTCTGTAGGATAAATAGGAGATGGCACAGATTTCCTGTGCTCAGTGACCTCCTGGGCCAAAAGGACACCTGTCAACATGATGTTTCAGGGAACACCATGTTTCCCAGGAAACCAGTGCTTCGTACCTAGTTGAATTAGCAATGTTAGCTGAATTTTGTCAGTCAGTTAATTATCTAAGTTAAATTTTAATTCAGTGTCACTTGAGGATTTATTCAGAATTTGATCATTCAAAGTATATTGAATTGAGATTTAGTTGTGTGCTTTCTTAAAGAAAGGACTCTGTGGCAATATAAAGAAATTGTGTTTAGATTGAGGCATAGTTATTCTGTGTTACAAATTTTTTTTTTTTTAATTTAGACTGTTAAATTTTGTGGAAATAAGTCACACAATCTGGATGGGCATTCATCCTGAAAGCAGTCTGTATGTGTTTATTACTCTGTTGTGCTTGGTAGTAATAAACTTGCGTTTCTTTTGAGAATTTTCATAATTAGACATTTTACTATCAGGCTAACATCCCTTCTCTGAATCAATGGGATTCGATTGATAATCATGTTTCTATGTATTGGGAGACTTTTTATTAAGTAAATGTGTATTCCTGTTTAGAAGTGTTAATAAGTATTTCTGTATATCGTCAGGTTCAGTCTTACGATCCAGAAGCCAATTCCTGGCTCCTCCGCGCAGCTATCCCGATCGCCAAGAGGTGCATAACTGCCGTGTCCTTGAACAACTTGGTCTACGTCGCCGGTGGGCTGACCAAGGCCATCTACTGCTACGACCCAGTCGAAGACTACTGGATGCACGTGCAGAACACATTCAGCCGACAGGTAACAGTAACAGTCAGGGAAACAAAGCCGAGGGTCAGGTGCACGGGTACTGCTTACACACCGGAATTTCACTTTTACCTATTCTGCATATGCTGGGATTCGTGCATTTTTTCAAATGCCAAGGAAAACATATAGTGCACTTGTTTTGAGCTCCTTCCAAGAAACTGTTTTACTAGAATAATTTTCTTTTTACCACCCATGGTGAAGTATTCGTCATGACTAGGCTGTTGACTTTTTCTTTTTGACCTTTTTTAGAATCCTGCTTCAGTCTTTAGGACCTCTCGCTTTTGTGTGTCAGAAGAGAAGAAATGTCCTCAAGCCAGTTGGTTCTCTGGGTAGAGGCTAGGTAACTGACGGGCTATAAAGGACATGGTCTTGCTTGTTTCCAAACAGCCTAGAAACTTAATTGCTATTAGGTCTCCCCTGCCTTTTCTTATCAGTGTATTGAACAAGTGCAGCATATCAGCTCAACCCTTAGCGTTTCTCTTATCCTTTCCATTCCCACTGTCTTACTGTGTCCAAGTTCCTGTCGGTTCTCAATGACACAAAAACAGTAATACTCTAGTCTACTTTTTTCACTCCCTTTCTTTCTAAAGAATTGTTTGTTTTTAATTTTATTTACTCATTTATTCATTTATTTTTAAATTTTGACCAGAGAGAGAGAGAAAATGAGAAAGCAAGCCACCAGGTCCAGGGACTCGAATAATGGTCGACCATGTGGGAGTGTCCAGCACCTTAACCACCACGCCCTCTGCTGGTCCCCTACTGGCACCATGTGTAAGCCATGTGGGATACAGCCACCTTAACCACTGCACCACCACCATCAGCTGGCCTAACCTGGCAGGTTTTTCAAGCCACCGATTATGGACCCCCACCTGCACAGTTGGCCACGTGGGATCCACCTCACATGACCACCAAGCCGTGGGTAGTCCTTACTTAGTCTTCGGGAATGCATTGCCTCTCCAGTGAATTTGCCAGCAGTCATGTTGCTACAGTAAACCTACTGAATACAATCCAGAAGTTTGACTTTATTCTAGCCCCTGAACCTTTGCTTGGCCTCTGGGCTTCACTTTCTGTTTCTCCTCCCCAGTTACATTACGTAGCCATTAACTCGCCATCTCTGGACGGATCACATAGATCCTTACCAGGTCCACGTTGTCCCGTTGGCTTCTCATGCCCTTCTTGCCTTCTTTACTTGTAATTCTACTTTATCTTTCAAGGACTGCTTCCTACTTAGAACAAATGGAGGTTACCTTGGACAGAACTGATCGCTTTTTCTCTTTGATCTGTTTCAATACTTACACCTTTAAGTAAAAATGGGCCACCTTTCTCGAGCTCAGCGGCCTCGTCTAGAAAGCACACTCTCCCACCCTCTGGAGGCGAAAGTGTACCACGGAGGAGTCCTCCTAATGGTCATGTGTTGAGCCTTATTTCTAATTTTTTAAGCTAAGCTGCCCTTTATTGATTTGTTAGTATGTGAATATTTTGCATACTAATAGATTTTCATTAAGAACTGTTGATTTACAACTTGGTTGTACTGTATAAAATGATAACAGAACCTCGGAAGATAACCGCCAGCATCTGCCACAATGCAGGGAAAGCAAAGGACATGTTTTAACTAGACAGCTGAGATCTTACTAAGAAGAGCCAGCAACAGGACACAGGCCACACCGTCTGTGAGTGAGCAGGGAATAATACAGGACACAGGCCACATTGTCTGTAAGTAAGCAGGGAATAATACAGGACACAGGCCATACTGTCGGTGAGTGAGCAGGGAATAATACAGGACACACCGTCTGTGAGTGAGCAGGGAATAATACAGGACACAGGACACACCGTC